CCAGAACAGTTTCAGCTCTGGCCCCAGATGTCAGCCTAATGTGTACCTTAATCAATCCATGTAATAACAACGTGCCGGAACATAATAGTGCAAAAGCAACATGACGAAACTCTGTTCAGACATTGAATGGACTGAGTGCTCTACAGGACTTTTCTACTGTCTCAGATTACTCAAAGTGCTCTATACAACATGCCATAATTACCCAATCACACACACTTTTGTTAAACTGAGTGCTTCCTAACAACATTTATACACATTCAAGCTCTTGAGATGCAAACTGGAGGAGCCAGGGATCAAACCAATAACCTTGCAATCAGTAGGTGACCTGCTCTACCTCCTGAGCTACAGCCACCCACTGGCACAGATGAGCAAACCGTCACTAGGTTTTGGATAAAGTGTACACTGACAAACCTGTCAAATCTGCATTTGAAACGTTGGCTACTATAGCAGTATAGTATTGCAACGTGGCATTTGGATCTTCTAACTAAAATAGGAAAATAGGAACATAAATAGTGCCATCATTGCCAGACCTGGCCCACATCTGGTTGACATACACCCTGCCATGACACCGGTCAGTCAGAAGTACCAGCTTGATGCCAGATCCGGGCCAGACCTGTTTGTTATGGGCCTGGGCCACATAAACCAAACCACAATCGAGCCAGATATGGCATGTCATCACATAGACAGTACCATCTATGCCAGGCCTGGCCCATATCTGGATGACATACGTCTTATCATGCCAGAAGTCAACCAGCAGAGCCGGCTTGATACCAGATCTGGGCCAGATCTGCTTGCTATGTGGGAAGGAAGCCAGGGCTTACTTTGCATTCTGTTGCAGCCTTAAAGTTACGCCTGTTTATGAGAATTTCATCATTTCTCTTCAAACTCCTACAGATGTTACTGAGAGGTTAACATACTTCTGAAAGCTCTGCAGCAGGAAGTCTTTGCCCTAGGCATTAAAACAAGATTTCACAAGGTCTGCAAAGATTTTCACTCCATTAGACAGGTTTATGATTTGATACCACAGCATAGATGTCAAGGAGCCTCAGTGACCTTGAAGGTTTTTGTAAACCTGTGTGAAAAAGACTGAAATGATAGACACTGACAGAATGTCCAATCCCAATTTATAAAAGTGCTTTGGAAACTTTGGAGTTCATCCACCCAGTGCACATAAATACACTGATTATGCTACCAGCCAAAAAAAAAAGAGGAAACATTGTAGCAAACATTGTTGAACACAGAAAATGTTCTTGCACAAAATATCTGAAATATTGAATGGATAAAAAAAAGTAGTTATTCTGTACCATATTTTTATGATGAAGTGTGTGTGTGTGTGTGTGTCTCAGAGAGCTGTCAAGGCTGATGTGGAAGTCAGGTGTGGAGTCATAACAGTTGTCACGGTTCATATTTTTCAATGCTTTGTACCACCTTCCACACCAGCTAAGCTCTGCACGTTGAATGGATGGCCTTCAAAAGGTGAAAAGTGCAGTATCAATGGCTGCCTCCATCTGAGCTCCAACAGCTCTTCATGTCTATTTCTGCTCAGCAGAAAATTTCCAGCTAGTGAGAAATGTATTCAATTTACATGGAAATGTCACATGATAGTTCATATTATTATTCACAGTTCCAGCTATCTTTCAGAAAAAGAAAAAGAAACTACTCAAAAGAGAGCAAAAGACTGATAATATTCTCATTATATTCTATACATTGTTATAACAACTGTTATAGTATAAGAATGAATTTCCTCTTAAATGAACCTATTTCTCTACACATAGAGCAGTCCAGTTTCAGTTCTCTTTTAAAGCCAAAAATATGGATACTAAAAATTCTCCACAGGTGTATGTTGGCTACAGTAGGCTCCAGCTCCCGTTAACGTTTCTTAATTCCAAACTGGACAACCAAAGAAAGAGTAAATTGAAGCGGATTTTTGAATTTGTGCCATGATGCATTCTTATCAACCTCACAACAATGACAAATCTAGAGATCACTGTTCCTATCTGTTTGCCAACAAATTGTTACAATATGTAATTAAACAAATGGGATTCAACTTGTTAATTATACTGTATCTGTGGAGATAATTACAGATGTAACTGTGGGTATATGTTTCAAAAATTATCACAGTCAGGTTCAAAGACTTTCCTGGGTTTCCATTGGCTATATTCAGCAAACCTAAGCACTCCATGCACACACACATTCTTATATTTGCTGAACAGTGAGGACTTGGTAAAAATACTTACAAAGTGGGGTCACATTTAGGGTATAAGACATTCCTGCTCTTATACCCAAGTTTTTCTAGGATTGTGGGAGTGGCATGTACAAGATCGTTGGTTTCTGTAATGCTGGAAGTGAGGATGATGAGTAGAGTAGGATCCCTTCTGATAAAACTCTTTCAGCCACAGTTTTCATCCTTAGCTCAGTAGATGCACGTGTCATAGCAAGTGGCTGGGCATCATCTAGTTCCTAAGGCCATTCTCTTCTACCAAGGTCAGCTCATTATGTCCATAATCTTCTCATAAGATTGTCACCTTTTTGAAATACATTAGGGCTTTTCACAGAAGATGTCTTTCCTTGCCAGAGCAGGTTACCTGTTTTTAATAATGTCCAGTACCATGTGATGACTAAAAAAAGTCCTTTATATTCTGCTTTTTGAACCGCTCTCTATCCCACCAAACACTTATGCACATACGCATGTACCACATTTACACCTACTCAGCTCCTGTATTTATAACTATAATTGGAGTGTGCTGAAGAACTGAAATGAGACATTGTAGGTACCTATAAGTGCAGCTGTTTCCAAGGGCCTGAAGGGCATTCATGCATAAGAGCAACTCATCGCTGAGGCCAAATTAGGAAGGAGCGTTAAATCCATCTGCATACAGAATTCATGCACGACCACACTCAAACTGTAACTTTGATTGCTGTTTTAAAGCACTTGTCACCTGGGAAATTTAAAATAGCTCTTAAGGACAGGAACACATGAAATGTTGGCTTTACTCTGTACATATACAATAAAAAAGGCAATGCTGAAGTTTTAAATGTGCAGATACTGAGTCAGTGCACACTGTTTAGCTACTGGCAGTATACTGTATTTTCAGGTAAATTTCCCAGTCATTTAGAAAACAGGAGATAAGGGGTAAACGGATATGAAGAAAGTTGTGATATAACCTATTACACAAATTATGGTCATTACTACTCTCATTGTGAATAATCAGCATTTTCATCAGAGATAAGGACCTACCTCATAATAGCAGAGCAGGTCAAGAAATACTCAAAGAAAGGTGACTCAGTTATCGTGCTCAGTGTCTGAGGAGCAATAATTTCTTCAAAAGTCAAATAAAATCATGGACAAGACAATAACTCATACATTGACTTCCTCAATTTAAATGTTATATAACTACAGTTATATAATGGTTGCTGGCAGGAAATAAGTGCATGCTGTGGGTTTAAAATACATACAGTATGCTTCTGCATATACCATTATTTTCTGCATACACAAGCAGCTACATTTGGTAAATTAGAGCCAGTCATCACAGACAGACATTATCAGGATATAATTAAAACCATATACTCAGTCAGGAAGCAGCTGAACTATTAAAGGTGAATAACAGCAGTTAATTTAGCAGGATTTTAAAAGTTATACAACAGCAGAGCTTCGCTATTTCTGGCCTGCTGCAACAGGTGGGGAAGAGTCTGATAAACAATAGTTTTTAGCACATGTCATGTAAAAATAAAAAAGAAGGGGGCAAAAGGGAAATCTCAAAGGTAATCTCACACATGAGTTAACATGAGATGAGTCCTGCCTCTAAACAGGAAACACAGGAGAGAGGTGGACACTGAGGAAGAGCTTTCATAGTCCATCACATCAAATGTTAGCTTTCAAGTTCTATTTTTGTTTGATTTTTTTCCTGCACACACCTACTGGCTGTACCCAGACACATGCAATCTTGTCAGAGAAGTGGAATTTCTGAGTTATTTTTTCTCTGCTTAGTGCAGCTGCACATTTATTTTTATACTGGCAGCAGATCAAGAGTAGTTGTAAACTAGAGTTACAATAGGGAAAATGAAAGAATAACCAACGGACTTAAGTTCCTAATTTTAATTTTAGCTAACTATTTAAGGGTCGTGTTTACGGTTGGTGTTTGTCCCAGCTGTCACACATCCTGAATAGGTCACCTATCTGTCACAGGGCTAACAATGAGACAGACAACCATTCATCCATCCATCCGTTTTCCTCCCTTTATTCCATTCAGGTTTGGGGGGGGGAGGCTATCCCAATTGTCATAGAGCGAGAGGCAAGATTCACCCTGGTCACGTCGCCAGTTTATCACAGAGAGACAACCCTTCGCATTCCCAAGTTCACCAATTAGCCAAAAATGTGTGTGTTTTGGACTGTGAGAGGGAGCCAGATTATCCAGAACTCTGTACAGAAATATCCCAAGCTGGCAGGTGAATTAGCCCTAGGACCTTCTTGCTATGAGGCAACACTGCTCTCCACCACATCATCGTGTGGAGAAATGGATGGATGGATATAGCTTGAAGCTTAGTATGCAGGTTTCCATTAGGAAAGCTACTACAAACCCATTTTACCTGCATTACATTGCATGCTCAACACTAAAATAAAATGAAAAATGCCCTTAGTTTTAGTCATTTCCTGAAGAAGCTGTGGGTGCATATGTATTCATTGAGACTTGTCTATATATGAGAGTTGACCATGTTCACAAATTGTTGCATGTGTACTGTTTTACCTGTTCAGAACTTCTTAAACCAGCCATACAAATATCAAAAACTAAACTAAACTAAAAATGAGGTTGAAAAAAAAATACATAATGGAAATAATAATAAAAAAGAATTAAAATTAACAAAATTTGCAGGACCTTTCATTCAAGCATGAATGCAATCATGCAATCATTGTCCAGAATATGACTAGCCAAAGCTGTGCAACAATCATTTCAAATATTTTCCAGTTCTCAACTGGGTACAATCAATCAGAGTACATAATGTTTTACATGTTCTGGGTTTTGATGGTTCATTGGGGTATAGGAAAAAACACACACACACTAAAATCTCCAGACTGGAGTGCTTTTAATAGAGCATCAAGTAGTGGCTCCTTTATGATCCCGTTATGGGAAATATAATACCTGCATGGAGAAGTCAGATCGAGAGTGCTGATTGAAGTGGTTACATGTTTCCTGCACTTTTGTATTCTTTCTCAGGGCAGCCAATCACTCATCAGGGCTGCCTTACGCAGAAACAGATGCCCACTCAGACCTCTCAAACATAAGTGACCAAACAAAGCAGCAAGCAAAGAGAGGGGCTTAAGTAGACTCAGCACAGGTGCAAACAATAATTAATCAGCACAGGTGTTAGCACTGAGCCTAATTAACTCAAGACTGCTCAGTGGAGAAAACACAACCGGGAAGGACATTTAGTGAAAGAACACAGCGGGGCGCAAATGTTTGCTTTTCCCTGGTGTTTCTTTTTTCTTCTTTAGTGTTTCAGGTTAAACTTCAGGCTGCATGAGACAATCCTCTCACATGGAGCTCAGTCAATATTCCTCGCAAGAAAATGAGCTTGAAGACAGAGAGACTCACAGACAGGAGTCAGGATAAGACCACATCAATCTCTTGACTGTGCAAATGTTCGTTTGAGTCTATCAGCCTCGATCCCCTTTCTGCTCAATCTATCGTTTATAATGAGTCTGGAGATGCATTCAGTGCAGCTGAAATCTATGGCATCATTGGAAGAAATGGGGCTTCAATACACATGAATGTTACTCGAGAGAGCGACAAGAAATCAGAAAACTGTTATGAGTTACTGGGATTGGATAAACAGAGTATATTGTGTTTGCTCTGTTAATCATACCACATGCATCACAGGTAAAACAAAGTGATCTGCAAACAGGAAGTCACGGTTTACTGCTGTGAATAGGAAATACTTGTAACTATACTGTGCATCCTCTGGGCTGCTTCTGTCATTGCTGCTGGGGTATTAGAGTCTATGCTTCAATGTGTTCTGTAGGAAGGAAACATCTGGCAGCGGGTATTTTCCCTCTGGAAGATGTGGTTTTTATTCCTGTGAAGTTTGTGTCGTGATGTGGAAAACTGGTCTCAACAGGCACATCGTGCACATTAACAGGAGGGGACAGGAAGACTCCTTCCTCCAGCCCTAAAACCTGCTGCCACATCAGACAGCTGTGCCTTTCCAGACCCAAACAGTCAGCTGCAGCCATTGTCAAGAACATGAGATTAAACCCTTATTCTGTCACAGGCCACTTTCCACCCTGATAACATTCTTAAAAACGCATTTCCACCATGTATTGTTATCTATCACAAATCTAATCTCTGAATACTTTGGTGTCAGCAGGAGGAAAAAAAGTAAATCAAATCGGCTCGGTATTTTATTGCAGCACAGTAACAAATTGAGCTGAATCAAGTGTATGAGGGCAATTTTTCTTTATCTTCAATCAAAAAGGTATTCTTCATCATGATGTTCAGTTATCTTTTTATCTAGAAATCAAGGCCTAACACCACAAGAAAGTAACAGTGTAACGTAAACAACTTTATCAAGAGGATAAGCACTTTTTTTTTCTTTAAAACTTTAAAGATTGAAAGGAACAATAGACACAGACATACATTACAGCTATGGCATTAGAAATGATTCTGTTTCCAGGTTTGATAAGGACAGGGGTTTTTTGTTGTTGTTGTTTGGTACAAGTTGTACCATATGACAGAAACTCTCCACTAAACACAGGGATGGGTGTTTTTATTGGAATCAGTAAAAAGTGTTATATAGATGTTGTTATTGGCACTTCTCCACCAGACACCAAATTGACTTGGACTGTATTTGGAAACAAAATGTTGTACCATGTTCTTGTAACACATTTACATATTTTTGCCCCTTATCCACCTTTATGGTTGTTTTAGAATAGCAAAAGAGGAATTTCGGCACACGTCTAAAGTGCGTGATTCGATACAGTTTCACTCCAATAATCAAATTTAAATCAACTTGGTTGTTTGTTTTGTTTTTTCCAAACAGGAAATTCTTCCCACCCTCATATGAGTTTAGCCCTGTTTTGGCCCCAGCTCAGGCCACCTACAATTATCCTATATGGGGATCTCTTCTTGATCCTTTAACATAGCAGAATCAGAAGTCACAGTCCCAGCCAGAGAACTCCTCTTCTGCCTTCGTCTGATCAAGAGGGAAGCGATCAAAGTTGATGTAGCAGGGACCCTGAAAGAGGATGAAATGTTAATGAAGCTCATAAAACAGCCTATCCCGTAATCTATTTCTAATCAGTAATATTAAGCACTCTTAAATCCCCTCATTTTAACAAAATTCGGCTAGTGACGAAATAACACCAACATAGTCCCAATGAAGAAAATTCAACATTTTTGGGGAGTTGATCATTTATTTTAAAGAAGCATTTACTTTTGAATGAAGCATTTAGTAAAAATATTTTTAAATGTTCATTTGAAAGCATAATCCTACAGTTTTTTTTTTTAAATCTTAACACATGACTAGGAAGAGGATGAGGACAAGAAGAGCAAGAAACTGGAGTAACTACGATAGGCTAATTTCCTTTCTGGGGCCAGTAATGATATGAGGGTGAAAAACTTAGGGTTGTTTTCCATTTGGACTTTCTATTTTTTCATGTTCATGCAGTGTGTAATAACCTTTCAGACCCAGGTTTTGTTAATATAGTCTGAATACACAGTGGGTTTCATGTATCAAAACGTTCTTTAGCCACTGCGAAAACCAGTAATATTTGTTCCACACAATCCTGCCTGCGGTCCTTCTTTTGTTTCACTTTCTCTAAACATAAAAAAAGGTTCTGCTTTCCATGTAAGAGTAAAACTGGTTTGACTTGCCTTGCGGATAAGCCGTGCTGTGGGAGCCTCAAGCTGACCCACACGCAGCTTGTGCCAGTTCATACTGCTGAACCACCTGAAGGTAAAAAGGGAGATTTTGTCATTACTATTACTATTATTATTATTAAACATGGTTTTATAATCATAAAATAATAACAAGGTAAAAAGGCTCAATCAGCAGTGTAGAAACATAATCTATAAAGACAAAATCACCATGCTGTTTTTCTGTACAAAGAACTTTAGACTGCTAATCACTTCCCTGTTTTTCACATAGTATATATTTATTGTAGTAAATGTACTCACTCTATAGTAATACCGCTATAATAATTACGCAACATCGTATGTGCTATGCACTTGAGGTGGAAAGGTGCATAATGTTTATCATTACAGATTAGTAAATGTATAAAATTACTGTTGCCTGTTCAATATAGGCAAAAATGCCTTGTTGATGCCAAAGGTCAGAGGAGAATAGCTGACCTGCTTCAAGTTAGATAGGAAGACTACAGTAAATCAGATAACAACTGGTTACAACCGAGGTAAGCAGAAGAGCTCAGGAAACTGACATTACAATTCACACCAAAATTGGATGATGGAAGTTTGGAAAAAAGCTTTCTGTTCTCGATTTCAGATGCAACATTTGTATAGTAGATTCAGAATCTGGCATAAACAACGTGAAAGCATGGATACATCTTGGTTGTACCAGTGGTTCAGACTGGTGGTGTAGTGTAATGTACTACGGTACAGGCAGCAGTAGGTGACCAAAGAAGAGAGTGTTGCCATGGTTACCTGTGATGCCGGATATCTTTGATCCCATTTTTGGTGTTTCCTAATCTCTGACCAGGCCGAGGTCTGAAAAAATGCATCATTCAGAGAGAAGGCAGTTCAGAAACTGCTTTTGGTTTCATGAGCTTTCATTTTTCAAGAGGTGTGTTTTATTACAAATATATTTCTATATAAATACAAATGCATCTAATGATGGAATGCTTTCTTTTTCAGACATTTTTGTCATTTTTCATTATTCACACTGTACTTTGAGGCACTGTGGCATTTCCAAACAAGAAAACTCACCGACCAGATTTTGGGGGATTTTTAGTTTTTTTTGGTACACCTGCTTAACTGCTTGTGAATTCTATTTCAAATCAGCCAACGATATGGAAGCAAACCAATGCATTTAGACGTGCAGTTCAAGCTGAGCATCAGAATGAGGAAGAAAGGTAATTTAAGTGACTTTGAACGTGGTTGTCGGTGCCAGACAAGCTGGTCTAAGTATTTCAGTAACTGACAATCTACTGGGATTTTTTCCTACACATCCATCTCTAGAGTTTACAGAGAATGGTCCAAAAAAGAGAAAATATCCAGCGAACGATAGTTTTGTAATAATTTTGTGTTTAAACCAGGTTGTCAAACATAAGGCCCGGGGACCAGAATCGGCAAAGACTCCAATCCAGTCCACTAAAAGGCATAAATTTAGAGACTTTTAAACTTTTAATCTCATCAGTTTTACAGCTTATGATAAAGACCTTCCCTACAGCCATCCATACTATACTTAAGTAATTAAATCCACTCTTCTATAGAAATATCAGTTTTTACATTGAATTCACAGTCAGCAAAAACAGACAAAAACACACATTGACAAAAACTATATTGTATACTTACGGGACAGTGTGTGCAGTGAACTACTACATATAGTTTTCTGTAATTTTACACATTTCATTGGTCCAGCCCACTTAAGATCAAACTGTGGCCCACGATGTAGAAATTACTTTGAAATCTCTGTTTTAAATGCTAAAGCCTACCTGACTATTAATACTACCCATGTCCATCCCTTTAACACCTCAGTGTACCAATTTTCTCATGGCTGCTTCTTGCAAGCTAATATGCAACAATGTCACAAACCTCAAATCATCTCAAACTGATTACAGTGAGTTCACTGTGCTCAAACAGCCTCCACAGGTACCAGATCTTAGTGTAAAAAGCTCTTCTGGGATGTGGTGGAACAGCAGATTCACATCATGGATGTGCAGCTGACAAATCTGCAGTAACTGTGTGATGCTGTCATGCCAATATGGACCAAAATCTCTGAGGATGTTTTAAGGACCTATGCCACAAATAAGACAAAAAGGGGTCTAATCCAGTATTAGGATGGTGTAGATAATGAAGTTGCCACTGAGTGAAATTTTCATAAGGTCTAATTCCATTTTTCTTTTTTGCACAATTATCAGTGACCTATATGAAAATGTAATCTATGTGCTCTCAATAAACTCAGCTGTTCTTACCTGCACAGTTTACTGATAATGGACTTAGCTGCTTCGCTCATATAAGGTGCATAATGGAGCTCCCCATCCAAAATTTTGGCATAAATCTTCTGGGGCTCTGAGCTTGAAAAGGGAGGGCTGACCATTTGAAAACAGAAAAAAAACGTGTTGTTAATAAATGTTTAATTTTTATTGAATGGTATTAAAAAGACTGAAACCTGAAATTGTGAGACACTGAGCTCTGAAAAAGCCATACAGTGCTGCTGCCATCTGCTGGTAAACATTAAGGTTATTTTAGGTCTCTGTTGGTTAAAAAAAAAAAAAGTATTATTATTATCATTGTTATTACCTTCCCGCCAATAGTTCAAAAATCAGGATGCCAAGAGACCAAAAGTCAACTGCAAAGTCATGTCCCTGGTTCTTGATGATCTCTGGAGCCATGTACTCAGGAGTACCAACAAATGAGTAGGTTTTCTCACCCCGAACCAGCTCCTTTGCAAAACCAAAGTCAACCTGGATGGTGACAAGCACCCACACAAGAATCAAATGTGATGATAAAGTCTTCATTAACTGAAATTCACATAAAAAAAAAAGTTTGTTTGCTTTAGAAACTTGTTTACAGCTAAAGACGCACCAGTTTGACGTAGCCCTTCGCATCCAGCATCAGGTTCTCAGGCTTTAGGTCTCTATACATGATGTTCTTCTTGTGGAGGTAAGCATAGGCCTCCACCACGCAGGCAGTGCAGAACACAGCGACAGGCTCGTCAAAACGACCTCTAACATTCACAAAGATGCAATAAGTTGGACAACGGTTTTCTTAAAAATTTCTGTAAACTTCCATCTGCTACAGCTTCTACAAAAAAGTATGTATTTTAACTTGGGAACTCCAAATATAGAGCATGATTTCACTTTTCGTCTTACACTTCTTTGAGTTTGGTCCAGATTTCCCCACCACTACAGAACTCCATCACCATGTAGATGTATCGTGTGTCTTTGAAAGCTCCATGAAGTCTAGAAACAGCGAGAGCAGAAAACATTTTCAGGTGCTCTGCGCTCAACCGATGGATTTAAAACACTGCAGTCCACATATCTTTGATACCTGACAATGAATTCACACTGCACAGCTTTAAGGATCTTCTTCTCAAACAGCATGTGCTCTTCCTGTCTCTTGGCAACAATGTGCTTCTTGCTGACTCTCTTCACGGCGTAATATTTTCCATGGGGCAGGGTGGTCATCTTAGAAGAGCAAAAACAGTCATCAGTGGTAAATATTTTACAACCCCAGTTCCAAAAAGAGTCGGGACAATGTGTGAAATGTTTAAGTTCTCATGTCAGGTAACAATGTAACAAAGTAATATGGTTGGGTATAAATCGAGCATCTTCGACAGGGAGAGATTCTCAGCAGGGTAGAGGGGCAGAAGGGCAGTTCACAAGGAGGATGGGGTTCAAGCGCTATCATGGAAAGAGTAAGCCATACATGAACAAGATCCAAAAACACCAGTCTTCTGCAGGACAGAGCTCGTTTAAAATGGATAAAGGAAAAGTGAAAAACTGTTCTGTGGTCAGACGAATCAAAATTTAAACTTCTTTTTTGGAAAACATCCTGTACTCTGGACTAAAAAGGAAGCAAATTATCCCAACTTTTTCAAGACACATTGCAGCCATGAAATTCAAAACAAGCTAATATTTTTTTCTGAAAGTCGTACATTTCCCTATTTTTAACTTTTGATATGTTTTGCTTTTTTTATATCGTGATTAAAATACAGGTTTGTGAGATTTTCAAATGATTGCATTCTGCACTGCATTTCACACGGTGTCCCCACATTTTTGGAACTGGCGGGTTTGGATTTACTGCGAATGAGAGAAATATCCATATATGTTAAAGTACATAAACGTTTAGTGGCTAATGCGACAGTAACTAAAATGAGGGGTTAGAGCTGAGCACAAGTTAGCTGAACAGCAAATTATAAATTTTTTCTGACTGTGGGAGTAATTACCTTTAGCAGTTCACAGACTACCTTATACATCACATCAGTGTTTACAGTAGGCTGACAGAGCCTCTCTTTACAACAGCAACTTCCACATGCCAGTGCAGGGTAAACATGGCTATAATTATTACCGTATGTCCTTTTTCCATTTCGATAGCTCAAACGGTTGTGACACATGGGACCATAATACATCATTCATTATGACTGTGTTAACCCTGTTCTGGTGTGGTGGTGAAAACTACCTCTGTAGTTTCTACCTTTCTAATAAATGTTTAAAAAAAAAATTAGTATATTATATATAATAATAATATATATAATAAATATTATAATATATTTATATAAGTGGTGTTGTTTAAACCCAGACAAGATGCACAACTGACCAGTGCCACACGGCCAAATCCTCCGACTCCAAGTGTGACAGGATCTCCTTGATAGCGACCCTCCTGATAGAAGACTGGAACCAGATCCTTCAATCTCAGAGTGGAGCTGGGGCTGAGAAAGAGTGGTGATTTTATTTTTATTTTTTAGATTTGTTTTCACTAATAACTGCTTATTGAGCTTATTCTGGTGACTGATTGTTGGTTTTGTAACATATTTTAACCTTCACCTTCAACAGGCACTCACCTCGACTTTTCTGGAGGTTGCGCCTCCTGCATCACTTTGGAGCTGGAAGTGAAAATAAATTTGACAGGATATGAGCAGGAAACTAACTGGGGCAGTCTATTTCACCTCCACGTCACACTCTCGGTAAGGTGGAGGAAAAAACAAATTGTGGTTATGCAATCAACAGTGCTTTTTTTTTTCAATACATACTCATCAAAGAGTTCCAGGTGCTCTACGGGAATTGTTTCTTCAAATACCCTAAACAAAAGGCATCATTAGTCAAGCTGTGCATCTGTAAGCAAGTGGGAAAACACAACAGACAGCAAACAGACTGTAAAGCAACCGAAGAATTGTCCTCTCCAGGAGCAACAGCTGTCACTGCAGAGCCTGAGCGAACACACTATCACATTCGGTTACTGTCGGAATTGAGTGCTGGGTCAGACTCACTCCTTGTCAATGGAGAAGCAGGTAACAGGGCCGTCGGCAGTGCAGGTTGCTGTCCTCAAGACCTCGCTGCAAGACAAAAAGCATTGCCAAAATTCAAGTCTGTGGAAATGCAGTGAATACAGCTGCAGAAAGAGAACCTCATAGAGATATTTTAATTGAATAACATATATTAGCAAATACTAATATGTAGATTAAAAAATATGCAATGTGAAAAAGTACTGCATTATTTTGAGAAAAATAATTCCCAGTGAAATTGCGATGGTGCTGCATGTCCTGCAAATTAGAGGCAGACAACACAAGCTAGATGATATTTGATATTTATTAAAAATCCAATATCCTCCTTGTATAATCAAAACAACCTCTGTTATTCCACCAGAGGATCACACACACACACACACACACACACACACACACACACACACACACACACACACACAGTGTTTCTGTATGCATGCCCCTCTACTGACAGCCACAGCAATAAATTTGCTTCAATGGCTCATTTGCATCTTAGCAGAACTGCGCAATTTAGGGGAAAACGTGATGTTTCCGTCACCAGAGAGCATTCGGAGGATAATCTGAAGAATCTGCAAAATAAAAATGTCACAGCTGACAGCAGCTGAGGAAGGCGCGAGGAGCACATCGTGCTGCACGAGGCTCTCGCAAATGTCCTCAGGCATGTGTTGTGTCTCCATGGTTACCGTATGAGGGCCTGTTCCCCGAAATGCTCCCCTTTTCCCATCCTGCGAATCTGCTTCTGATGACCGTTCACGTTCTTAGTCACCAACACCTGAAGGGGAAACACGCACACAGGCAAACAAACGGAAAGAATAAATGTTATGCACACAAGAGAAATATGAGTTTGTGAAATAGGCTGGATAAAAACTCTGGGTGTGACTGGCCAAAGACGCACGTTAAGATATCGTTACCTCTCCTTTGAGGATGATGTAGAATGCGTTTCCTTCTGTTCCCTCTCGAACTATAACATCTTTGTCCTGGTACTTCACCTAGAAGAGACAGAATTAAAAGTAATATTAAGAAAAATGTGTACTTTCAGATTCACTCCAAGAGCTAAAAGAAAACATCCTTGTGTTCAGTGTATTTGATTCTGTTGTGTCGTAGCAAAAAAAGACATCGAGGTGCACACCTCCTCCATGGAGTCAATGATTTTGGACAACTGGACATCATTCAGGTCCTTCAGAGTGTGGGCCCTGAAATGGCAAGTGGGAATTTAAGAGAAAATTAGAAATAGGGGAAGCATTTGCTGCATCAGTGCAGCGAAAAATACCAAAACTGTTATGATAGAGTTACAAAGAGAATCCGAGGAGTCGGGATGAAAGTTTTATCATGGCTGCAGAGTCTAGAAACTCACGTCTTCAGGAAGCCCATGAGCTGTTCTCGTTTCTTCTTGGACTTGTTGGTCATAATGCTTCTGTAGGTCTGTCGCTCCATGCACCACAGATGCACAGGTGTCTTTGCTGCAATATGAGCGCACAATAATAGAGATAAAAATAAACAAAAATAAAAAGAGTAGTGGACTCAGTTAACTTTGAAGCATATTTTACGATTAAGACATTTGAACTCTTGAATTAATTTAACTACAACTGTAACAAAAACTGATTGAACCTTTAAAATTATTGGGGTTTGGTTTGATTGAAAATTCACAAATACTGTTCAGATGTAATAGATGAAATCTGAAATAAATGACATAAAACCATAGCCAGATGCACTCTATTGCCATCGCAGAACTCATATGACAAAGTGAGATAAATGAGAGACAAGCTTGCTGCAGATGGGAGAAAACTGCCTTCCCACGGGTGGATTGCATTGTAAAGGGATGTACTTGAACACACTGTTTTTTCTACAGTGAACCAGGCACCTTTGTTACAAAACTACTGTGACTAAAAAGCTATTATTTTTTTCTGTCACTGTTATGTTAGTTAAGTTATGTTATTGTTTTGGTTTTGTCACATTTTACATTTCATTGTCCGAAAAAGCTGCTAACTTTCATAGCACAAGGCATGTTCATTAGATCAAAATGCGACTCCAAGCGTTTGTGATAAGCAGCAACACCCTCCTTCACAGGTTTTCTGCATCCATTTTGGGGATTTTGGACAACCAGTCCCAAAACCACACTAAGCCAGTTTCAATCAGGATACTGTTTGGGTCCTTTCAAAATAAGAGTTTCTTCTTTTTCAGAAGTGTTATTGTCAGTCAGTTTGTTCTCCCCTCAGTGACTATAATGTGTCCAAATACCAAAGCAAACTATGATATTCTCCCCACCATGCTCTAGAGTTAGGTTGACATTTTGTTGTTAACATGCTGGGCAGTTTTCCTCCAATGCACTGCTATGTATTTCTGTCAAAAAGTTCATCCATTATCTCATATGTAGAACATATGTGGTCATATATTATACATACATACATGTCTCCACATAAATTACATTATACTATATAATACAGTCACCACAACCCTCTGCAAAACCCTCCAGGAGGCATCATTATACAGGCTGACCTTTGACTGTTGCTGTCCTTTTGCAGTTGTACAGAATCGCCAGCTCTCCAAAAACATCACCATTAGTTAGAGTTCGGAGGTCACGGCCAGACTGGCTCACAGAAAGCTCACCAGCTATAAAGAAAGGGCAAAAAAAATTGATATTAAAATTTGCTTATTTGTGAAATGATGCTGTAAGAAGTTAATAACCCAGTTTTAAAAATCTTCCGTATATACATGGAGCACTCGCAGATAAAAAGACAGACATTCATACTAAGGTGTGTGCCCACCTGCCACAATGTACATGCTGTCTCCTTCAGAGCCTTCCTGAATGACTTCATCTCCAGGATTGAAGTGAGATACCTTTAACAGGTCCACCATCATGGCTATTTGCTCATCATCTAACCGGCTCAGGAAGTCATTCTTCTGGATAGCTTTGACAATTAGGCTCGTCTCACTGCCGATAGAAAGTTCAAAGAAGTCATCTACAACATACAAACTGGGTATTATATAAGTTGTTGGAAAGGTGCTGATGCTGACCTGACATTTTTCTTCACCCTCGCCCGTTTAATCTCCAGGTTCTCCGGGATTGGTTCTGAAGCTATGACAGCTGCACGGCTCTTCCTGACCTCAGGTTCAATCTCATTACCGGTCTGAGAGGGAAAGTCTGTAACAGAAACAAATGGATGGTTACAGATCGCCATTAGAAATCGCATCAATCATGTGTGTAAGTAGATAAGTAGATGTGTCCCTGTTCTGTGTTCCCGTGAAGAGCTGCTTACCGAGATCATGATACTGAGTCTGCAGTTGTTGCAGGAGTTTCTCTTTCTCGGTGAGTCGTTTTTCTGTGAATGTGAAGAAAAAAAACACATAATAAATGTGCAAAACACATTAAAAGTGACAATTTCTGTGCTTTGTATATAAAAGATGGATATGGGTCTGAAACATAAGCCAAAGTAAATTCTCTCTAATGGCCTGCATGGATCCACTCCTCTGAATGCAAACGTAATGAATCACCCTAGAATGACCCTAGTTGTCTCTTGATTTATGACTTCACTAAATACCTTAATAGTGAGTTTATTTTATGAATCACTCGTTTCGAGTCTTTGAGTCACATACTGATGTCACTTTTGTCAATTAAGATCACAATCAAAGACAAATAACATAAAGCATACATTGGGCATGGATACATTTATGACTGACAAGTCATAAATGTATGTAATGTCATCCATTCATGAGTATATAATGTCATCCACTTATCAGCCTGATCCATCTCTCATTGTGGTTTAAGCCCATAAACCAATGAGTAACTGCATGGTTTTCTACATGTGTACTCTGTGTTTTATGTACAGTGGGGCCATGCTAATAACTGATCCATGCTAATAACTGATCCATGCTAATAACTGATCTCTGGCCATGATCAGAAAAAAAAGTCTAAAATTTTAGTTGCATCCCTCCAACATTTTACACTCATCAATCACATAATTAGGTACATGTTGCTAGTACTGGGTTGGATCAGAGCTGTCTTAATTCTTCATTACATAGATTCATCATGGTGCTGGAAACAATCCTCAGAGACTTTATTCCATATTGACCTGACAGCATCACATGATTTTGTCACATGTCATCCATGGCATGATTTTCCCATTCCATCACACCCCAAAGGTGACCATGCGAGACATTTCAGTACAGTGAAACTCTCATGTTCAAGTAACCAGTTTGAGATGACATGAGCTTTATGACATGCCACATTAGCCACCAGAGGATGGACATGTGGTCATAATAGGATGATAAGATCTAATACTAAGGCACCCAAAGTGTGCCAAGAAAATACCTCCCATGCCATTACACCATCATCACCAGATCATGGATCCATGGTTTGATGTTGATGTGAAATGTTGACCATCTACCATCCAAAACAAGCAGCAAAAGTGGAGACTTATCAGACCAGGGAATCTTCTCTAATCCAGTTTCTGTGAGCATATGAAGTTTCCTGTTCAAACTGCTTCAGCCGTTTGTCTTGACCATGTCTACCTGTCTAAGTTCCACTGATTCCACATCTTAAGTAAAAGTCCTGTGAAGGCCTCATTCTGGTTCTCTAAATTTGAACTCAACCTTCAGAACTTTAAGAGCTCCACCTTTAATTCATGTGTTCATTTATATCCCAATATTCACCTCAATGAACCTGCTATTGCACAATGAAGTCTCTACAATATTTAAAGCTTATATAGTTATTGTTGTACTCACCTAGGTCCTTATTTTGCCTCTGCAGCTCCTTGTTGATCAGACATTGCTTTTCCAGCTGCTGCTTCAGCTCCTCTATTTGCTTCTCCATAGCTACAGAGGGAATAAGGTTTTTTTAAAAAGGAAGATTTATGGGAGAATTTCATATAACAGGAAAACGAGAAGTTGTATAAATTATGCACCTGAACACAGACATAAAATGTAGCCCCAGTTGTTGTGATATTTGTGGAAACTTCTACACACAAAGCCATAAAGGGTGATATTTAAACTGTAACTGTGTTGATACCTTTTTCTCAAAGCACTGAACCCTACTTCACTGGCAGCACACAGCAAGAGCCCTGCTGAATAATGCAGACTAATGATGGACAGTCAACGGGGTGCTTTCTGAGTGCTGTCACACCCTGCCAGCATTTGCTGAAGATCTGTTACAGTTTCTGTGACTGATAATGACACAAAACCTGTCAAAGCTGTATAAAAACCCCTTTAAATGATAGATCGCTTTTTCTAGGCTTTGCGTTTATATGCAGATTATTTATATTTGCTGGTTGTGGGTTGTTACACTAATGTGAGACATAAAAAACCCTGTGACTATGCATAAGCAGGTCATGTTAACTGACAGATTCATTAGCACTGCTGCATGAGATTAACAATGAAGTTAACCACAAGCCAGATCCAATACCTCTCTTAATCGAGGTGACCTGTTTAAAGAACTTCTGCAAACAAGATTCCTTTTCTGTTTTCTTTTTTTAAACACTCCAATCAATACAAACACACTTGGATATGTGCCCATTTTACTAAACACACAGTAAAAACCCTGGAGAGGCTGTTTGCCTGTGTTCACGGCACACATCGTATGACCCCAGGTTACTGCTGCCTCACCCTGAACATTGGACAGGCCTAAGATTAAACTAAACTCATAAAGTCATTTAGTAAAACACCAGCAGAATGTGACAGGGAAATATAAACAGCTCCTGTTCTGCAAGGGAGCATGGGCACTTAAAAAAGACATGTACAGCGGCCTAAACTAGATATTTTTCCAGGGATTTCAGTACAGAAAGCGACGTGACTGCAGTGCACAGAGCTCATAAATGTGTTACAGAAAAGAAAAAGACCTTAATGGTCAGTTTACACAGATCATAAAAATATGTCCCTACATGCTTACTTGAATATCAGATTTGCCTCAGGGTGGTTCGTTAAATTGTCACCAAAGCACGCACTAAGACAGAGCCGTGCACAAACACAATTTGTAAACTTTCTAGGAACTTGTAGCTGTTGAGAAAGACAATCTGAGCTGATCGAGATGATAACCTTTAGTGCCTGCAGGCTGACACTCAATGGGGGAAATTGCTCAGTTATTCTTCAGCCCTGGGGCAACTGATAGGTAGGTGGCTGTATTTCTGTTTGAATATTTGCTGTTTCATTGGTCCATGTTTGTTATTTTTGTTACAATGGTAAAAAAAAAAAAATCAAAAACAAAACAGGTTATTATTTAAATACTGAATGAACTTTAAAAGTGAGCAACATTCATTTAACATGCGTATATTCATATATTCTGTAAATGATCCTGGAGGATCCCAGGAAACATGATATTAAAGCAGACAACGCCAAAAAAAGGAGAGAGAAAAAGAAAGAAAAACAGATATTTGTGTCTGCTTTTCAGCTGCACGGCAGGAACATGATGCCAGCTACCATTATACTGACACAGCCAGCATACAGTCCACTTCATACTGCTTCATTATTAATTCATGGCCATGTGTAACTACAGCTGAATTCTCATAAGATACTCTGTGATAGAAACCTGGAAGGAAGTCATGTGCTTTGTCTTTATTAGGCAGCCTTTTCTCAGATATGACGTTTTGTTAATCGCTGTAGTAAATCAAAAACCAATAAAACTTAAGCTGAACCAATGCTGATCTGTACTTTAAACACAGCGGTAATATATTTAAAGAACCGATAAACGCCTGAAGGTGGCCTGTCTGACCTAATCTACAACTCTGAGACACTATTTGCACGTAATCTGTGGACGAATAGACTGAAGCCACACTCACCTGCAGGCATGGTGTGATCAGCAGACAAGGTGATCTAATGTCCTGCCTATGAAGGCCGCATGGATCACAGGAGCCAAATAATCACCTTGAGCTGCTCCACGATATCCACTTTTCCACTGCAGAGAAGTTTTTTGCTTTCTGTGCAGTTTTTCTGACCTGCTTGAACCCCAGATGAGCTACAGACTGGACACACCTGAGCAGACACACCGCATGCAGCCTGCAAACTCTCTATCAATACTCCTTCTTCTACTTTTCCTGCCACTGCATACTTTCTCAGCTTACATTTCCCCGTCTACAGCTTTACTATTTTTACTTCTCTCTAGCTCTCTCTCTCTCTCTCTCACTAAATCTTTCCTTCTTTTTCTGTATCTATCAATCTCCACGGCTCTGGTGTTGAATCATTAACCATAACCTGAGGCTCCTCCTATCACACCAGGTAGAGGAATACAGGCAGCAGGAGTACGAGAAGGAGAAGAAGAGGAGGAGGAGGGAGGAGGAGGATGAGCTGGAGAGAAAGCTGGGCTGTAAAAATTATGCTCAGTTGAGAAAACACACAGCTAAAGTGTGATGTTGCAGCACGTTATTCATCCCGAAAGAACACATCGGGCAAGTAGAAGAAAAGCGTACCAGGGTGCTTCTTTTATACCTCATTCACATTATTTTGTTACCTTAAAAAAAAAAAAGGAACTGATTTGTGATTACTGTGACGTTTATTAGCAATAATTGTTTCTCACTGACGCAGATGACAGAGAAGTGAGGAAATTAAAGTGGGAGCACAAGCAAACAAGCCACTGCAAAAGCTGCCACAAAGCTGAAGTAGAAGCATAAAAGCTGCACAAGTCCTCACTCTTCTACCTTCATATTTTTGTCTTTAGAAAGAAAAAATGTGTTCGCAACAAGCACCTTTCTTCCAAATGGCTGCATTCACATAAGAGCTGGGGTAGTGTGAAACTATTTTAGGGTAGATTTTATCTGCCAGATTCGGAAAGTGGCTACTCCTTCAGGTTCCTGTTTTTCCACAGAGTAAATGCCACTGAATGTTTTCTAGGCCACAAATGACTCTAAATGAGGTTAGAGGGTTAGCATTGTGACAAAGGGCGTGGGCCTTTATTGTTCACAGTTAATTATTGATATCTTCCTGGTTAATCTGCGACATTAATGACTCGAGCGCTCAGAGATTAAAGGCCTCGGATTTCAGCGGTGCAAGTGAAGGGTAACTCAGTGACAGGCAGCATATAGGTTATAACATTTTTCCACTACAGGTCAAACCTGGTGATACGTGCTATAACAAAATAAACCTGCTGCGACTTGCTATCGATCGCAGTGAACGGCCACTTGAAGCTTCCAGACAAACTCAAGATGTAAAAATCACCAGTCGATCTTTATCACCCTTTAATTGTAGTGTAATTACAAGATACACCATCGAACATACAATGCCCAAATATTGCACCATTACATGATATTGCAATAACACCGTGATTGTCTTTACAGCCCATACATAAAGTTTATAAATAAGGCGTGAGTTTAAAAAAAAAAAGATATTAAATGCAGGTGAATGTGGTAAACATGCAAATAGCTGATGGATTCGTGACATTCATGAAAAGCCTCTTTTACTTCTGAAAAGGCAAAATTAAATTCTCATCCACCCTCACGCTGACAATTAAAAGCCACCAATTAGCACCATTATCACCTATTTTCTTCATGCCGATGATTGAAAACACTTCATTTTATAGCCAGCAGTGGCGTCATTTAAAATGGCATGAATCCTACACTAATACCACCTAGCACAGTAAAGCTACATATTAATCAGTGCACTGTTGGTAATACAAAAACAAAGCTGATGTACTGTCTACTGATAATAAAAATACATTCAGTACATGTACATGCTGATCTGGTCCTTGTGTGATGCTTACGATACTTAATTACACTTTATAGCAGCAGATACTGAAGCACCACACAGGGCGTTAATGGTCTTTACCCAGTGTCGGCTCATTTACCACTGGTGTCATTTACTGTACAGCATGCAGCGTATAAACACAGGAAAGTTTCATCCTTTAAGGCATGCCACAAACCCCGAGGAAAACACTTCTTGAAGGCTCAAAACTAAATAAGCATTTGATGCAAAAGGGAATAAAAACATAATTAGCAAGAAGAAAACAACAATAATGCTGTTTTTAATTTTAATAACCAACTCTTCACTTTTTTTAAATAGCAACAAGCAGAGCACTTGAACTCTACAGTGCAGTCTACATACTACAGGTGTGCGGTGCACGGACGGCCTTTGTGACTGAAAGTAGGTAGCAATCAATTGAACAGCAATATTTTCAAATTGACTAAAATGTATTAAATACTTCAAAATAGCTTTACTGATTTTACTTCACTGTCATTTTTTTCATTTCTACATGACTTGAACATGAACCTGAGGTCATGAGGTAGATGAGCAGAGTTGCAGCTGCAAATGTTGTATTACTTCAGTGTAAGTGCCTTCATATTGCTCGTTAGTCCTTCATTTGCTCCTCTCTGATACCACAGGCTTGCTTCATTTCCTCCCGGTGTTCAAAGACTGCGTGCACAAACTGGCCAAACAAGCGCTCCATATAGCTCTCGCCTAGAGGAAAAAAACCCTGCAAGAAGGCAATGTGTCCCCCGTGTGCCGTCAATACCAGGGCGACGTTAGGAAGATCCTGAACTACGGACACCGGGAAGGCTGTGAGAGCAGGAAAGAAAAAGCCCAAATGAATATAAACAGACAGCAAAGTAGACACAAAGCAGACACGTGAATCGGAAACCTTTTGTAACCCGGAGACTTCAACGTCCATGATTACATATAAAAAAGGAATTGTGCTAAAAAAGAATGAGACATTTCTTAATATAATAGAGATAAATTCAATCATCTGTTTTGACGTCGCTTCAGTCCATCTTAAATGAGCTCACACACAAAGATGAAAGTGTTTGAGAGAGTGTTATCTTGCATGTGTGGATGCAGTATTGAACTGTATTCGCTTACATATGTTTTCAGTAGTGTTCCTGAGTCTGTGGCAATGAACCCACTGGCACCTAAGGGCCTTAAGATATCAGCCTTGGTTTTTAGCAACAGAGAGTTTGCTTGATTCTCTAAAATTCCAAGATCATTTGCAGCTTTATTTTGAGAAACTTTACTGTCAACTATTTTTTCGTGTAGTCTTTAACAGAGTAGTAAACGCTGCCCCACCTTTACTTCTGAGAAACCTAGACACTCTTGGATGCTCTATTTATACCCAACCGTGTTACTAATGTTCCACCAGGTGTTTTCTTTAGCAGTACACTTTTAATATGATGTCTTGTACAACTTTCAGTAAAGCATTCAATTTTACACAATGTTCCCAACTTGTTTTTTTCGAATATGACCATAAAATCTGAAAAACGTCACATTTATGAGTAAACCATTACAGCTGTTATTTCCCCTTTGCAGTGCTTATACTGACACACCTCTCCTGTTGTGTACTCACCAGTTTGTGGAGAGAAAGGGTCATCAGCGGCATTGAGACACAGGATGGGTACGGCTGTATTGGGGAGCTTTTTGCCTGGGCTGGCATCGCGGTAATAATCCATACATGAGCTATAACCAAACATCAGAGACGTGTAGCGTTCGTCAAACTCACGGATGGACCGAGCCTACAAAAGGGTGTGAAAACAAGATGACGATGAATGTAGAGTCAATTATACATCTAAGAAACTGACAAACTGTGAGTAATATTGTATCATACCTTCAGGACATAGTCAACATCCACCACTTTCTCTAAAATCTTCCTGTGCCTGTGAGAAACAGATTTTGGGGTTTTATTTAACTGGATTTACAAACGCAAAACTGTTAGACAAAATTTATGAACCCAAATGTATCCAACCTGGTGACAGCGCGGTGCAAGCATCTCGTGATGTGCCTGTTGAAGAGCAGCCAGTTGAGCGGTTCCTCCATCGAGTCAGAGGACTTACGTGCATCCCAGGGTACCGAGATGGTGATGCCGGCAACCAATCCTGACTCGGTGTGCTTACGGGCCAGGTAGTTTAACAACACCATGCTGCAGCAGGGTGAAAAGAAACGAATCATGCAATTGTTAAAAATGAATAAATAAAAGAAATGGAGGAAAGACACAGATGGCAAATCTAGGTCCAGAAATGGAGGCCAGCGGAAACACTATGCACCAACTCACCCTCCCAAAGACACACCAGCCCCAAGCACAGGAGCACTGGGGTAGAGCCCTTTGACATGCTGCACCACACACTCAAGATCTGAAGTATTGGCAGCACAGTAGGTGACTGGTGTCTGAAGCAAGCAGAGGGATACAGGGGGGGAGTTACATGCAGTGCTTAAGCCTCAGCTCTTCTGTTAGTGCTATTATTGGTCTGAAATGGTGTATCAGTGGAAAAACTTAAATTACTACATAAACACACAGAAAATACTTTCAATTCACTTTTTTTGTTTGTTTGTTTTGTTTTGTTTTTTAAATCTGAAACTGTTTTAAATTGGGATTAAATACATTGGCAACCCATCTACCAAAGGCTAGAATCCTTGCAGGGGGGATCAGAGTTCAAGACCACCACAGTTTCCTACTTCTCATTTCTGTCCTCCCGCTCTAAAATCCTCACTTTCCTCACTCAACTGGGGTCCTTCAGAGTGTATTGACATGTTACTTACAGATTTTTAAAAACTAATTTGACATTATTCTAATTTATTAGGTATTCATTGTACTTACCAGCAGCTCCTCCCCTCCAAGACCTCTGTTGTTGAAGACCACACATCTAGGAAGGAAAGTATTTATGAAAACTGCTTCAGGCAAATACCGGGCACAAGCTACATTAAGCTTCCTGCTTAATGTAAACTTTCCTGTTAGCGCTGCTTCAAGATCACTTCATTTTGTGTGAGGAGTGCAGCTGACCTGTACCCGTGGCGTGTGGCCTGGCTAACGGCGTGAAGCACATAGGACTGCTGGCTGTTTCCTGTAATCCCGGGGAGGATGAGCACTGTGGGACGCGTGGAGGATTCTGGGTAGGTCACACTGGCCTGATTGTCCAACCAGTCAAGAGAGATCTGACCACCATCCACTGTACGGATCAGCTCACTGGGAGATGAAGGGACGAGACAAGATATTCATTATTTAATTAAATGTTTAGATTAAGATTTTTAACCCTCTTGTACATAGTGGTGAACTGAAAAAAGAGGGTTTCTTCCTACTTGCGATAACTGACAGGGGGTCTGGACTTGAGGGCAGCACAGACCAGCGTTTGAAGTCGGCCTCCCCAGCACCACGGAGTGGGACTGAAGCGCTCAGCTACCACAGGACAGTGCTTGAAGAGGAATGCACTGAAAGCCTCACTGCAAACCAGAGCTGGTCTCTGAAAGGACACAAGACCAGATGAAGGCGTTATAAAAGCACAGCTGCTTATAGATTCAAACCTGTGAGAGACAAGAAAACATCCGAAACACACCAGGCGAGCAGAACAAGGTACAAAGAAAATAATGGCAGTATCAGTGGTATGTAGATGTGATGTGACCAGCTCTGCAAGAAATACATCACTTGGAAACTTTGATGTGATGTTACACAATAGCATTTGATTAGCAAGTAGCTAACAATGAGAAAATAACTCTTACCAACGTTTTAGATATTTGAAAATAGTATTCAAATATAATCAATTCAAAATTCATATTTTCTTGTTTACAGTCTGTGAAGATATTTTAGAGATTTATTTTTTCTGCATTTTCTACATAAACAAATTCTACTATTGGCCATACTTTGAAATTATCCTCACTTTAGCTGCTTAAACTTAAGTAAAACACTTTTTATGAATAAAGCTGATATACTGCTTATTACCAAATGATCAGTCATAACCATGATCTTCTTCCAGTTTTATTTATGGAATCAATAAAAGAGAGGCTTTAATTTTGTAGAATAAAAGATCATATCTCATACACAGATGATACACATATTACAATATTATAACCTACAGATTTAATTTTATACAAAATAAAGTTAATTTTTAAAAAAAAAGGTTCAGAGCTTTGAGTACAAACCTCTGAACCCAAACACTAAAAACTGTAAAATTATGGACCAAGAAATGTTAAATAAGCTTAAAAATGTAAATAAATAAAACGGAAAAACAGTTTTTTAATTAATTAGAAAAACAAAATACCACAGATAAAGTCGAATAGGAGTTAATAGGATATGGTGATCTTCATTTTAAAGGAAATAAAATGCTTAAAAATCCAACTAAACTGTAAGTCAAAGCGGGTATGGCGGAGTCTTTGCCGCTAACTTCGACCGCAGAGACTGACCTGACACTCGCGGCCCCACAGATAGTACATTGTGGCTGTGAGGGAGCAGATGATCACCGTGTATGGCCTGGAAACACACTCCCAGTATGTTCTCCATACCTCCGCATGAGTCAGAAACATGACAACGGTCTAAGTGCGGTTGACAGCTGAGCTGCTAGCCGACGACGTCGTTAACCGACACAACGGAATAACAGGACACAAAGAATATGATATTTAATGTCCGACAACCTGCCTTCATCAGAAACATCTAACGTTCAATATGTTGTACTTCGACTCTTCCCAGCAGCCTTGGCGATATTACGTTAGACGCCGGTAGCCATCAGGTAATAGTCTGGTGTTTTCTCCGGGAGCAGCTGCTTCCTAGTTCTCACAGGCGAAGCTCCTGATTGGACAAAAGCTCCAACTTCAACGTCATGGCTACGATCCATGTAAACTACAAATATGGAGATATAGTTTTTCTTTTACTTTCTATGGGGTTATTGAAAATGAGTATAGATAGATAGATAGATAGATAGATAGATATACATTTTTTTTAAATACACGTAAAATATAATGTAGTTGTAAGGAGGATTTCTGTAGTCTGTTGATTTCCAAGATAGTGGAAAAGGGGGTGGGATTAAATAAGCTTATGTTTCTTCCTGCTCCTTTTTGAGCATGAAAGTTATTTGTAGTTGTGGTTGCTCGTTTTCCTTTTGTTTTGCTTTGTTTGTTTGTCTCGTTTTAGTTCTATGTTGTTATACTGTTTCAACAAGTTCAAAATAAAGATTCAATCAAAAACAATCAATAAATGATTGCATTACCGCCACGAGCTGGTGTGGAGCTTGGATCGAAACTTTTGTTTATTTACGGCTTTAAAAACAAAAATAATTATTTTTATCAGCTAAGTTGGCATTTTTAAAATATTTATTAGATCTATTTTTCGTCTGAGGACTTGAATGAAATTGAATTGCCTTCTTTCTGCCTCATATTTCTAACAGTATCCTGTGATGATCAGTTCAGTATGTACAAATGTATCTCCTTTTCCCTCCTCATCTCATTTCTCCTTTTGTACACTTCAACTTACTCTTGTTTATCCCACCTTTCCCTCAGGCTGATTTATTATCACCATAAACGTTTGTTGTGGCCTTTGCTCCATTCTCCTCCTTCATGTCTTTTGACACCAAATATACAAGTACCCATAAAAATATTGCCACTAGCCCTATTACGTGAATTAACATTCACTAAAAATACTGGTGGTTGGCAGTGCTAATCCTCAGCCTCATATTAGACATCTACGATATCAATTTCAAAACCCTATGTTACCTTGTTCTCAACTAGTGAAATATGTAGCAAATTATTAGATTAATTAGCAACAGGTCAGGAATATTTCTGCATCTTAGGGAGGCAGAGTTTCTCCAAAGTAAAGATGGGCTGAAGTTCACCAATGTGCAAAAAATTGTGAAACAATTTCAGAATAACATAAAATCGCTGAATATCTCATCATAGTATATCATCAAAATATTCAGAGAATCTAGAGGAATCTCTGTGCACAGAGAACAAGTGCAAAAAGTCAGTATTAAATGGCCGTGACCTCCAGGCCATCGCGCGGCACTGCATTGAAAACAGGTATGGTTCTGTCATGGAAATCACTGCAAACAAACAAAAAACTGATGTTCACTTTACTGCTAATAGAAATACATTCAGCACACATACATAGTGATCTGGTCCTCATGATACG